TGTACATTTTTGTGTATTCCATTGCATCAGCAATATGTCTTATATTAGTGACTATTTGTCTTCCTTTAATAAATCCAGTTTGGTCTGGATGTATTAATTTTGGCAAAAGTGGTTCTATCCTATTCGCTAAAGTTTTACTTATGAGTTTATAATCCACATTTAAAAGTGTTATAGGGCGCCAGTTTCCAAGTTTTCTTAAATCGCTATCCTTTTTGGGTATTAAATGAATGACGCCTCTTTTCTGTGATACTGGTAATTCGCCTTTGCGAAAGGAATAATTTGCAGCAAACAGAAGGTCTTTTTCTAAATACTGCCAAAAGTGCACGTAGAATTCCGTTGTTAATCCATCGCTTCCTGGAGATTTATTTTTTTCCTATTCAGTTGCTGTAAAGCAATGTTAAGCTCCCTTTTAAGAATTTCCCCTTCACACTTGTTTTTTCTATATCAGACAAATTTGTAAGTTTTCACATTGAAAGAAAGGTATAAAATCTGTCTTATTTGGATCACAGTCGGATGATGTGTACATATTTTTATAATATTCAGATTGTAATAACAAAATTTCTTTTGCGTTTGTAATAACTGTATCGTCTTCTTTTATGATTTCAGTAATGTTTTTGTTCATAATTTCTCCTTTCCAAATTTAGAAAATATCTGGTGTTCCTCTCCCCTTCTTCACACCATTTGCTTTTACTTCTTATCATTGCTCCTTTTGTTCTTTGTGTCTGAATCTCACTTAATTTTAGTTTTACTTTTGTAAGGTTTGACAGTGCTATTTGTGTCGGGTTTAAATCGCAGTCTTTCTGCAATTCATTAAGTTGGAGTTCTAGCTCTCTTTCCAAATCCCTATTTTTCCTGGCTTTTTGTTTTGCATACATAATGGTAAACCCTCTAATTTCAAGCTTAATCATATCCCATTTTAAAGACAAATCATCTATATATGAATAATAGCGGCTACATTCAACAATTTTGTTTTTCAACTGCTTTGTGAATGTTTCGTCAGACAATAATGAATTATTAAACTTCCAAAAGCCGGGGCCTCTAGGTTTATAACAGGTAGATGTAAGAGTTACTGTAACAGCTCTATGGTCTGGGACAGGAGCATTTATTATATCAGTTTGGACAGTTTTATTTTCATTATTCTCTATCAACCAATCATCTAAACGGCACTTAATAGTATAATCTGCATTGTTCCAAGTATATCTCCTTATGTTAGGGTTATGTTCTCTCCATGCATCTTTTAGAGAGAAGCAGTCCATCAAGGACTCAATCTCTTTAATAACTTGTTTTCTTCCTGTTACAGGTTTGCCTCCCTCTTTATCATACACCTGTAATGCTATATTTAAATCCCCGCCTAACAAAATTTCTCCTTCACTGAAATGAGTAATGTTATGTTTTAAGGTTTGAAAGAAGGATATTTGTTGAGTTTCATTGTTAGGCGCGTATATATTGATCAAACAAAATTTCTTATTTTGTACATGTATATTAACTAAAATAAACCTGCCTTCTCTGTCAATTTTACATGCAGATGTATGGAGAGACATCCTTGGGTTAAAGAGAATCATGACACCCTTACTATGAACTGTACCGTGTGCCATAATGGTCTTACCACCCCATTCGTGTGACCAATATTTTTCACATTTGGTTGATGAAAAGGTTTCTTGAAGAAATATGACATCATACTTTTTCGACTGTAACCATCTGAATAAGTTTCTCCTTTTAAGCTCATCGTTTAGACCTCTGACATTGATCGAGACACATTCTAACTTATATGAACAAGTCATGTAACCCTTGATCTTAGTAAAGCAATATTGGGGCTTGCCACATGAATAGAACAATTACAGGACATGTAAAAGAAGGACCTAATGTCCAAAAAACAATTGCAGTTTTGAACAAAATATCTGTTTACATATGCGTACCAGAACATCATAAAAGACACAAAAAAGCAGGAAAAAACAAAACAAAGATAAGCTCCAGGTAACGGCGTGAGTTCTTATGTTCTTCACAGTATGATGCAGTCTTGGGAGCCTGCTGTAATCCTGGAAAAACTGAAGATGTGTGTTGTCGTATGCCAAGATCTGTTCAACATGCATGTCAATGGACGACTGTATCTCCGACATTCCATAGTCAGCTGTTCAAATAAATCAGTTTACAAAACAATTCCTGGGCCACGTGTACTGCAGCTGTTCGAAACACATAGTTGAGTTTTCTTTCTTTAGTAGAAAACAGAACAAACTTATTGGATATCGCCCATTAGTCGAATATTCTGTGTCTGGTTCTGAACTTATTTGGCTCGCCGACGTCCTACCATCGTTGAATCAACACGTACTTTCCAGGAGATGACACAAAAGTAACACATTTTCTTCGAGTTATGTGACGCTAAAGTAGTTCTTCTTTCATATTCAAATGAGCCAAGCTTGCTGAGATTTGTGAGTTAGTTGGCATTTCAGGCATACTTCCCAAACATTTCAACACCAACTTTGCCATATTCAAACAAAATAAA